TAGCAAAATCGATCTTAATATAAATTAATTGAACATACAGTCAGGTAAAAAGGTAGAGGTACATATTAGTCACAGTTGTCTATTGCCAATCTATATTCTCCTTTATCTTCTGCATGTGTAGAAACCTCATAGGTTCTGATACCCACAGGACATGGGTGGGAGAGGTCTTCTGCTCCCACTTCATTAGTATAAGTTGCCCAGCAATTATGGAAGCAAAAGCAATAGCATAATGTCGGAGAATGTCCTCTGGGACTATTCCAAAAAGTGCAATCCAAGGTGAAGAGGTAAATTTGACTCCTAAGACCTCAGAAAATGTATCAAATATAGATGTATATAATTATGATTCGTCCAAAAAGTATGAGTGAGAGATCCTGTTACTGTCTTACATCTTGTGCATGAAGAATCTACCCCTGGATCTAACATGAGTTTTATTGCCACATGGGGAATGGACATCAGTCTGCTCCTCACAGTTTTTTTTCCAAACTACAGTCTCTAGAGTAGAAAGCACTGTTTGTTTTATGGTGTACATCATTTTTGCAAAAAGGGGAAGTAAGCTGCTCAGTGATATGCATATGCATGTATTATAATAACCTAGTAACTGTAAATACACCTAAATATGTAGTATGTGATTTCTCCTCAGATTCGGACTGAATTTTGGAAGTGTGGCTCTGTTTTCATTACTGTAGCAGTGATGGAAGCAACTGTGATGCTTCTACTGGGTGTATCTGTGCTGAAGCAGACTGACAGCACAGTGAGACAAAGAATAAGGATAGACAGACAGAACAGAGCGTTCTCTCATAGAGTGACTGTGTTATAATTTTACAATTTTAAAATCCAGGTGTGGAAACCAATGTATTCACACTTTGTGTTAATTTTAGTTGCACGTTTTTTTGTTTTTATGAGATGTTTAGAAGGAATATGGAATATTCTGTGATTTAATGACCAAAGTATCCCAGTATTCATATAATTGGATTAATCTGGAGTGCATGAATATGGTTTAATTCCCAGAAAATACTGTATTAAGTCACTACTTATGCATAATTTTTGCTGCAGCTTCATAACACAGCAGCGATCCACACAATAAAGCTTATCCTACACAAATCCTCACCCAAGTACTAAATATTCTAATTGGATTGGTTTTCATCCACCATTGTCATTAATTCATTATGGTGGTAGATTGGATCAATGGGATTAGTGGCTAGGGTTTGGAGCATGGGACTGACGTGAAATAATCCAGAATACACAGGCCTGTAGTCCCTTGAGTCAATCACCAACCATGATCCAGTCAATCACCAACCATCATGTTTGATATCCAACCAATGTCAATTTTTCCCAGATTGTAAATTGGCACATGTATGTATGCATGAGCCTTGAAGTCCCTGGATCTATGACAGGTGATGAAGTGTGTGTGCTGACAGGGATTGGTGATCCAATCAGTCAGTCAGCAAGGAACAGACATTTGTGTTAAAGGGACTATAGGGCTGCCGCTCCACTGTTGTAGTCCAGCCAAATACATTGAACGGCTGTCAGAAAGGAATGGAGCCAGTTTGGCTCACTTCAAGAGCCACAATGTCCATCTCGATTTCACAGTCGCACAGATATTATAACACTGATGGACTCACAGGAAACTGGGACTCTCTTTGTTTGGTGGTCAACATCCTCTTTAAACAGTTTATCCAAACTCGCTTATGTGAGAAAATGTCATTAAGTAATTAGTTGTAAAGTTTCTAAACAGTAGTACAATTTTTTTTATTTTTGATCTAGTTATGACTCTCATCATCAGATGGAACACTTCTGTTCAGGACTGATGCACAGTGTGCCTCTGCCATTAGAAAACAGCCTCAGGGAGCCCCATCTCCACTCAGGCTCATCTTAATGACAGTTCTGCCAATAATCCTGTGTGTGTGTGTGTTTAACACAACTCTTCACACAAAGCACTACATCATTCCATCAAAGCATCACCATAAGGATAGTATCACAGTATCTGTATAGTTAGCTTCTGTCTGTTATTTGGAAGCTGTTCTCTGGATATGATTTCTGTGTGGATGATCTACTACATGATGATGGTAGGTACGACTTATAGCTCCATGGTCTGTTGTATACATTACGCTTGTGAGTTAAATATGCTTTTTTAATATTTGATTGCTTGAATTAACTTTAAGAAAAAACATTTCAAAAATCTATACATGACAGAAACTAGATCTAAATGAGCTCTATCATATTACTATGTGGGAACATCTACTACTGTCTCACGCCCTTTAAAGGAGGTACATGCTGTATCCCATTTCAGGATTATGGATAAAAAAGGATACTTTAATAATTGTAAAATCATATAAGAATGATGGTGTTTCATATTTTTTGCATAAAAAACTCCCATGAAAACACCATGACCAACAATGTGTGTGTGGTTGGTGGCGTCTCTACCCTGTGGCAATATTTCCTAAAACAGCTCGTTTCCAACAAACATAACTCAGACAGGAGGAAGTCATTGGGGACTATTTTTAGAGGTGGATTACACATTTGATATTTGGGGCAGCAGTGGTGTAGTGTGAATAAATCAAATCAAACTACAGTACCATGTGCATGTTAATGTTAATGAAGCAACATGACACCCAGTACAAATGTTTAGCTCAGTGATGTATTTTTAATTAATTAGCTTTCAGACATCAATGGAGCTCTGTGGTAGAGAGAAATAATCAATTTCACAGTGAAAAGTTGGAGAACTGATTATGAAATAACTGGATTAAATACATTTTGAAAACTTACCACTACAACATAACTTTTAAATTATACTCAATTTGTTACTTTTTGAAAGAAATTTGTGGATTTGGAGGGTTCTTGTGTTAGGGATCATTTCAACACTCAAATAAAGCTCTAAGGTCATATTTCTAAAAAGAGATGGATTAATATACTGCAGTTTAGAGAATAACTCAGCACTGAAATGAAACACAAAGAGATATTAAACTGCAATTAAGTGACTGAAAAAAACTCTGTAAGTGAGATTAGCTGAGGGGTAGAGCTTGTCATCCTCCAACCAGAAGGTTGGCAGTTTGATCCCCAGTCTTCCCCATCTGCATGCTGAAGTGTCCTTGGGCATGATGCTGTCACAGATCACCTCCCAATGTGATATACATGATCAAATATATCCTCAATGAGTCTTGAAGCTTATAGCTGTCCATGTGTAATCAGATCACCTGAAATGGACGCAGGTCTAAGCTGCATCATAGCTGTGTAGCTTCAGTCTGCTAACCTGTTACCACCAGAAACTGCAGGTGGCACAAACATGGTTATGATTGCCCAGTGAGTCATCAGTCAGTGTGTGTTATAACATTTTTGGGTTAATTGAACTTGGGCTCATGGGAAATTTTGAATGTTGCGTGGAAACAACATCCTATTAAAAATACACTTTCCCAGCGTCCGGAAGTTCTAGTTTCACTATGGCTCTCTGAACCAGGATTGTACTGTGTCCTAAAGCTGACCATAACTCAGCTGACATGTTTATATTCTGACCATGTCTATAATAACTGCTTTAGATAGAGCTAGGCTTGTAAACGATCAGTGGTGATGTTGAATGCATCAGTCTGCAAAGGGGATTCAACATTCCAAAGATAATTCATGAATGTAAAGCAGCCTTCTTGAAAGGCAGTATTACAATGAACCTGTAACAGTCATTTGACAACATTCAATGACAATGTTTTTGTTAGTGGGTTTATGTTTTTTTGGGGAGGGAATTTGTATTTACCATTTTTCATGTGTGACTTTAACGCAGCACTTTCACATCATATTTAACAGTCTGCTGACGAGGTGGTGAGGGGGAGGTGAACGAGGCCTCAGCTGAGCAGTGCACCAAGTGTCAGGCCTGTTGATGGTTACCATGGCACTTAGTCTGTCGCATACATGTGTCCTTGTAGGCGTGTGATTGTATGTGTGTGAGCGTTATTAAAAACTTCCACTGACAAACAAGGGAGTGCTGTTGATCAGTTGTGGATGAAGAGAGAGAAGAAAATTTGCATGACCTGACCATCTAAATAAAAAACACACAGTTACTAATTTACTATGAATGAATTATCATTTACTCAAGAGCTTTCATAAACAGCAGCTGGAGGAAAGTTTACAGAATAAAAAGTGATTTTCTCATCAACACATTTGTGGAGACAAAATATGATGTTTCATCATATATCCCCAAGACATTTGACTCCCACTTTCACCCCAATATCCTCCTTAGATAGAATTAGTGGCTTGAACAACATACCCTGACTTCCTCTTGTGTTTTGTTTTAATTACAAAATCCACTTGAAGGTATGTTGTTTTAACAACAACAATAAAATCATAGATTGTAAAATGCTGCTTGCACAAACATCTTATGGGATTGTTTTTTTTTTTTAAATGGATGTTCATTGTTGTTGCTACACATCAAGCCAGGCTGAATAGATGTGGAAGTGCTGGGATGTAAAGTATCAAGGCCAGTAAATGAAAGACATTAGCATCCAAATGTTTTCACTTAAAAAAAGAAAAAAACCTGCAATGTCTTTCAGCTCATTACTACAACTGTCATTTCTACTTTTCCACACACTGGTTATCAGTGTAGCAAATAACAATGTGTTTCACCTGTATACCACATTTTCACAGTCATGTATACAGCCCTGCAATGTTGACCGTGGTGACACATTATTGGCTATATTATTATTTTCTAAATATATTATTTTATTAAAAGTACAGTGTGTAGAATTTTGTGATACCTAGTGTTGAAGTTGCATGTTGCAGCTGAACAACCCTCACCTCACCCTCTCCTTCCAAACATGAAAAAGAACCTGTGGTAGCCTTTAATTGTCATAAAAACTCAAAAGGTGTTTAGTTTGTTCAGTCTGGGCTACTGTAAAAAACATGGCAGCCTCTTTAAAGAGGGTCCCATCGATGCAAATATAGAGTATTTAAATATAAAGAGCCTTTTCTGGGGTAAAAAAAACTACAATTCATACAATTTAGATGAAACGAACTAGTGAAAACATCATGAGGATTATTCTACATTCAATTTCTGCCAATAGATCCCTTTCACCTAAATCTTACTCACCGGACCTTTAATTAATCTAAATGACTTCACACAGCTAGTTTGTTTACTGAATTGTAAAAGAAGTTGGTTCTGCATAGTTTAATTCTCTTTTTACGCCGATGACAATTTAAATGTACCTTTGTGTGTGAATTTAAACGAAGTTTAGGGCAGTTGATTGAGTGGATAGTTTCCCACAGTCACCTCTCCATGATCATGTGGTATATTTCTTTACAATTGTAAGTTTAGTGCCGAATAGAATGGTGGTATTGAGCTTCATTGTTAATAGTGGAGTGGTTTGTTCATACAGGTCGATATTGAGGACAACACTATACTATTTACAAACAATATACACATTTCACATCTTGTGCTAATAGTATTGGTTTCTTACCAATTGGATATGACAGAAATATAGATGGGAATATAAAGTGAATCTATGTTGTCATTATTAGTAGATGTTGTCAACTGAAAAATAGCTTAAACAATGGGTGTTGCAGGCCGTGGTGCGGCTGTAAGGCTGCCAAATCAATCATGAAACAGCACATTCTACACTGTTTCATTTCCTGGCAACCTGCTGATTCACACACTAAGAGCGTTGAGCAATTTGAGCATCATCATAACATTTAGTGCAAACACTGAGGTCTGTCTCTAGTTGTGCTAGAGCACAGTAATGTGCCTACTGCATTTGTTCTAAAGAGAGAAGTGTTGAAAGGCAAAAGGATTAGAAAGTTGGGGGAGAGTGGACCAGCACTGGCACAATTTGATGTTTGGAGTCAGCAGCCGTGAGTATCCTGTTAAATACTTTGAGCTTTGAAGTGAAAAGAGCCCACAGGCCCTGTTGAGCTGCTGGCGTGACACACATCAACACATGACCTCAGCTGCAGTGTGATGTGGATTCAAATAAAGCCTTCTGCCTGTCAATGTATGCAACAGCAGCACGAATACCAATTCTCAGTAATACTAGTATTTACTCAAGAATTTCACAGTCATGGTCACCCAGACAGAATCTGTCTACTGAACTCACAGGTAACAATATGTAACATAATTGGAAGACTTGTTAACTAATTATGTGTTTAAGAAAACATGGGTAAGTATTCTTTGCTGATTATAAGGTTAAATATTAAATGTTGCAATGCAAAATCTGCTCATAGTAACTACTCCATCTTAAAAGTGCATACATGATCTGCTGCACATTAATATGAATGTCTCAATTGTAATTATACCATTTCATAATGGCATTGTCATGGTGTTATTTAAATAGGTAACATAAAAAAGACATAGATTGTGTTGCAAAGAAACCTCAAGAAATGTATTTGTAAACAATGCATGTCATCATTTTCAGACTTTTTGTGGCTTTTTCAAGACATCATTGGTAATACCACATCAAATGATGGGGAATAATTTCCTGCTTCACAACTGATTCTTCTGAGAATATTTTATTTTCACTGCTCAGCCGGCACAAATAATCAACCAGTCCACTGTTAATGGTCTTCTATTTTGACTTCCATACTTACAACACCTCCTTATAACAATAAAATAAGCAGTACCATACAGTGAGGACACTGTCCAAGAGCTCTATGTACTAGAAGCTTAAATACACACGCTAAATCTAATGCTGTGATTTATTTTGACTCAATCCCACCTGCATCATCCTGTTGCCTCAAATACTCACCAAAGTACCAAATGTGAATTAATTCACTATACTGTAAATACTCCCAAAAGGCAATAGATAAAATTGGCATCAAGAATGGCATTATCCAAAAAAGACTCTGTAGCAGAGAGCTATGTGTGTTTCTTTTTCTCTCCCCCTCTTCCTACTGAGATGATGCAAGGACGCACATCATTTGCACCAGTTTTAGAAGGAAGGAACATTTAAGTGTATCTTAAATTAATGTTTTCAATAATGGCTGTGCGTGTGCATGCGAGTGTGTGGGTGTGTGGGTAGGTGTGTGTGTGTGTGTGAAAACAGAAAATGTGGGGCTCAGCTAATCATCTTGCAGGGACCCTTTACCAGTGTGTGGGAGGCAGACCTGCAGTCTTACATAAGAACAGATACTGTATAATGCCATCTGATTCAGCTGATTTTAATGTGCGTTCTTTGTCTCTTTCTACACATAACCTACTTACGGACACATTCACTCAGCACAAAAAACAGCAAGTACGAACAACATAGAAACACCAATCACACACGCACTACTGTCGCCATCACAACCCATCCCTCCGCAGATTTGTCTGAAAATGTTTCGACGCCTTGCACAGAACATTCAAGTGCCATCCTTGGACAACTTAAGTGTGCTTATTGCACTTCAGGAATTGTTCTACAGAATCTGCTACAATCACATTGGCTGTAAAGTCACAATAACACCCCGGACTGTTAGTAAACCATTACTGTCTGTGGTGTTAATGATGACAATAAAGATGATGACCACTCTAATGAGTTCTGTGGTTACAAAAACACTGCAACAAACAGTACCTTCTCTCTGACAATTCATACAAACCACAAAAGTATTATTGCATTCACTGTATTCTATATTAATGGAAATATAATCAAGGTGATTATGGACAGAATTCTATAATTTGTTGCATTGCATAGAGCTAAACATTGAAAGAAGAGTTATAATAATCCAGATAACTCTTCACATGATACTTTTAATTCAATTCAATTTCATTGGTATAGCGCTGATTCTGACACAGGCAAGTGTAAAGACCTGATTTCTCATCAGATAAAAGACATAAATACAGAGACACAGAAGAAAGACAGGGTTAAGGGTATTGCAAATAATACCAGGGCTAAGTAGGAATATAATGAAAACACCACCATTGATTAATATGCACAGAGGTGCCCAAGATTTGGCAATGATACAGAAACCATTTGCTTGCTCCCACACAGAAAATTAATGTCACTTTCTTTTTTTATTTTCTTTCTCTTTCAGAAAGCTACCTTGATGGATAGAGAGGCAGATGGAAAAGAACTAAACGAAGGTTGCAGCACAACTAAGAATTGCACCTCCTCCTCTGTCACCATGGAAACCACTGAACAATCAGAGCTGCCAATCGACTGTGAAATGGAGGTCGCTGTGGCTGATTCACCTGAACAGGGAAAAGATTTCAGTACAGAAGAAGAAGTTTGTTTAGGGAGCAACTCATCAGATTCCCCAGGAGAAAAGGCAATACTTGGCACATTATTAACTGACCTACAAACTGGAGGAATCGACGCTGACAAATCCGACTACTCTGAGACCAACATTTACACCGAAATGCCTTGTCTAGATCAAAATGAAGTTTCGATATCAGAATCAGGGCATGAAGAACTGAACAGAAATGAGTCAATCACTTCATCTGTGTCTGACACACCCTCCAGTGCTGACAGTGTTTATGAGAATGAGGCCCATCGTAAGAGACAGGACACACCAGAACAAGACCCTGAGCAAGAACAGGTCCCTGAGTTGCAGCAGTGTCCAGAGCCAGACCCCAAACCAGAGCAATACCATGAGAAAGAGCTAGACCCTGAACCTGAGCAATACCCTGAGCATGAGAACAACCTCGATGTGGAGCATTACCCTGAGCCTGACACCAACCTTGACATGGAGCATTACCCTGAGCCTGACACCGACCTTGATGTGGGGCAATACCCTGAGCCTGACACCGATCTTGACGTGGTGCAATACACTGAGCCTGACACCGACCTTGACGTGGGGCAATACCCTGAGCCTGACACCGACCTTGACATGGGGCAATACCCTGAGCCTGACACCGACCTTGACATGGGGCAATACCCTGAGCATGAGGACAACCTTGAAGTGGTGCAATACCCTGAGCATGAGGACAACCTTGAAGTGGGGCAATACCCTGAGCCTGAGCTAGATTGTGACCTAGAATCATACCCCAATCCAGAGCAAGACCCTGAGCTAGAGTTATACACTGAGCCAGAGGCTGAGGCTAATGATAATGAGTTTAAACAAAAACATTATGGCTATAAAAATCTGCCAGTGAACACTGAAGAAGACCCAGTGGCCCATGACATCCTTTTAGATCCACCCATTACAGAGGAGTCAATATTGGAGCACTGCATTAGAGAAGAGGCAATGTCAGATATGTCCAATGAATCCTGCCATGACCTTGACCCTGATGAAATGGATGAATGCTTGAGAGTTGAAATTGCAGCTGCTTCCTCTGATAGTGAGACAGATGAAAAATGGAGATCAATATTCTCCTCTTCCATAAATAAAGAAGATGATGACTCATATTTGGACAGTCTTCAGCTGAGTGCCCAGGAGCTCTTTGTGCAAAAAGTTGATGTGACGGACTTTGAAGAAGAAGACAACATTGAAGAGGCCTGTTGTGAGGTTCCACAAGTGGAAGAAGTTCTTGAGCAACCTGAAGATATAATTCCATTTCCTGCTCCTACACAAGAGGTTAAATATAACCCCTTAGGCACACAAGGTCTGTCCAAAATCTCTGAAGACGAGAGTGAAAATGGCAGAGATGCTAATCACAACCACACTGCCCACCAAGAGCACATCAATGCTGATCAAAACAAGAAGCTACCAAAAGACTTCTGTGTGATACAGGAGACCAAGAGTGAGAATGTTAGCACAGAGCATGTGGACTTCCAACTGGCACGTAAACAGTGGCGGGAAATGGAAGAGCACACCAAAAACAAGATTGTTTTACCTACAGCCAAGCAGCCCAGTTTCCATGGCAGCCACAGCTTCATGTACACTCCAGTTCGCAACATTGAAAGAACTCAGAAGAAAACACATGATCTTGAGAGCTTGAATCTGGTTGGGGATTATCCTCACACCCAATTCAGCCCCTGCTCAGAGGACTCTGGCCTGGATGATTCCAGTTACAGGTCTCCTTACGATGACCCAGAAACACCAATTGAAAGGGAGATTCGTATATCAATGGAGAGGGAGGAAAACTTCAGGAGAGAAAGGGGTCTCTCCAGGATGGGCAAATCAACTGATTGTGCTCCATCACGAAGTTTGCCCAGATCCATTAGCACTCCACTTACACCATCCTTCATCATCACCTCTTCACCCACTAAGGAACCACTGAAACATGAAGTATCTGCAAATAATGTTATCATACTTGACCCCAGCAATGATTTTACCCCCAGCCCCAGATACGGCAAAGACAATGTGGTACCTCGGCCTGGTGAGTGGCGCTCTGAGGACAACAGATCAAACCTCATCATCCTAGAGACAACCAATCTGATTATCCGCAGTGCCTCAGACTTCTCCCTCAACAAAGCCTGTGAACAGCCTCAGGAAAAAACCTTCCTGAACAACCCTTTTTTCAAGCTGCGTTCAAGAAGTACAATATCATTTGTGGATGAAGAGATTAAGTTAGTCAAGCAGAGGGAGGAAGATCTGAAGAAAGAGAGATCCAACTTGTATGGCCAAGACAGGTTCAATGCAGAAAGAATGTTGTCAAATCACATGGACACTTTGTCATTTGAAACGTCGGGTATGTTAGCAAAACACTGATCATAGAATGCTATTTCTACCTTTGCGTGTGAATAGATTTAAGCTAATGATGATATTTGACTGTTTTAGCTGATGTACCATTGAAGTGCAAGTCGTCTCCATCATCACCAATGAAAACAGCTTACAGGATGGATCGGTCTGCTTTATCCTGTGATCACAGAGTAAGTTCATCCTCCAACACTTTCCTGTTCAAAATCTTAATCAAGATGTTATATACCTAATGTATTCATTATTCAAATTTTAATAAATCTGTCTTGATATACCGAACAAAACATGCAGCTTTGTAACTGGGTAAATAATCAGCTGTTTTTTTCCCCCAGTTTCCAGAAATCTACGCAGGAGGAAGACGCAAGAGTGCCATGGCGCTGCGCTGGGAGGCAGGGGAGTTTTCAAAAAATGACTGAAGAGGATCAAGTCAAAAGTTGGCCATATAAGGGCATTGAATGTCAGTGTTGTTCTCATTCAAGTTAGATTCAGCATTGCAATTGTTTGTTTCATGTTGTGACATAACCTAAACTCTCTGCTTTTGTGATGCTTTGGGCAAAAATAGGAAGAAACTAAATCATGTATTATAGACAGTTTGAAGAGGACTGATACATGGTCAAGGATAGCACTTGATTCTCGACAGCGGGTGTACATTCTTTTTAGAAACCCACAGAGTTCTGGCATGTCCGCACCATATCTGAACCAACCCTCACCTGGAAGGCTGCTGGTTTCAGCTCGTATAGGCTACAGCTTCTTGTTATAGAGGTTGTTGTAGTGTTTGTTAAAGAGTGACTAAAACTGTGCCAACACACACTTGCCATTTAAACAAAATTATTATTAAAACAATACTAATATTTTAAATTGTGGCAAGTGGTATAAATAGAATAATACTCGGATCTTTGCATGAATTCAAATGATATAGCCACAGAGACAAACCCAGGTAATAATGTATCACGCAATAATATTCAATAACTGTATGCCTCCTTGTCTTACCTATTGACTAGATCCAGGAGTTCATAACTTAAAAAAAACTTTGACTGGAAGAGAAAAGATTTGTTACTCCCTATTGGGCTTTTATAAGCTTAAAACAGTACTCACAGGCCATATGTATATTGAAAGAGCTGTTGGTTGGGGAAATCATAACGTACAGCTGAAACTGTAAAACTCTGAGGCTTCAGTAATGTGACCCAGTGTAGGTTTCTTGTGACTATTATACTGTCTTCATTGTGCCCACTCTGTGTCGGTTTTCTAGTACAGGTACAGCAGAGTACAGGTTTGAGGCCATTCTTAATTTATGTTATTTTTATAGTTTCAAAGCAATTAGATGTCTGCTATGGAGTAATAACTATTGTTGGGTTGAGATGAAATGATATTAATTGATTTTTGGGGTCACTTGAGGCAGCAGAAAATAACTATCAAAAATACATATTGTCATGATAAATGGTCTGTATTTATACTCAATGCGCCATTTACCCGTTCACACACACATTGTCATACAGTGCATCTATGTGTAACACTTTTCTCTATGAGATCTTGCATCTTATGGTTATGAAAAATGTGCCTGTAAAGATTTGCCTATTCAATAACATGCAAGTCACTGAATAGTTTGGTGCTGGAGTGAAACAGAAAAGCTGTGAGCCAGCAAATCAAAACCAAGTGCTGACAGATGCCATTATCACATACATCTTGATCCTATAACTTTTAATCAAATCTCTATGACTGAGGCTTTGGCCAGGAGAAGATGTGGTAGCCTTCAACTTTCTAATGTTCCAATGGTTGGAATTGTCTCTAGTTGGTGGGTCGGCAGTGATGGCCAGTCAATGCCTGCCTCTACTTTAGATACATCACTAATAACAAACCTACCTTGTAACTTCAGACTCCAGAAGTATCTATCTGCTGCAGCTTAGCCACAAAACTAGAGATTAGCCTACAACAAAAAATGGATTTTGAATCCCATGACCAGTATGTTCACAGGGAATGATTACAGAAACCACAAACTCTTTCAGTATAATATGACATGTGGCTATTGTCTTAATACTCACTTGAAGAAGAATCTTTATATAAAAGATTATTATTATTTTCCTGACAGTAAACTGAACGTTTTTGCCAGATGGATGTTTTGCTAAGATGCCTAAATGTTAGACTACTGTATTGTTGAGTCCAATCTTTGCTTAACCTTTCTGGACATTATCAATGTAAATCAGATTTGAAAACATATTTTGATGTTATTGTATGTCTTGATAAAAACAAAAGCTACATTGCTCAGTGTAAATTAATTGCATTTTGGTACATGTTTTTGCTGCAAATGATATTTCAGGGTGAGCTGGATGAACAAAATACACAAAACATACCCATACCTTTACTCACACAAATAATACAGTGAATGTTTTAGTGAGAATAAATATAAATATGCATTTCAGTTTTGTCACTTCCTCACACTACCTGTGTCTATTTACGACCATTTGAATAGTCTACCTGTACAAGCTCCACATTACTCTGTGTGACGTAGGACAATCCAATATGCACTGGTATTTGTGACAGTGCTGCCACTGCACTCAGTCGAGAACCAATGAGACTTTACCGAATGTTGACTCCGATTATCTGAAATGCTCTGGAAATTTAACTTAATAAAACACATAAATGTATTTTATTCTT